GAGTGATATCAGCAGAATATCGAATGTTAATATGTTACCGATATCTTTCTGATAGATGGAATACGCGCCAAATATCTGTTAGCTATCAGGCATATCGATGTCCGATATTCTGCTGATATCTCTCAGAAATATTATAGATGTTTTAAATTTCGACCTGTGTAAAAAAAATTTTTATTTTATAAATAAAAAATAAACTTTTATAATAATTACAAATTGGCCAACATAGTATATGTAATAGTTTAATTATTACTCAAATATAACCTTTTAGCATTAAAACTAGTTTATTAAGTATTATTAGTGTTTGATAATTTCCATATGTTTTTAAATCTTCTCTTTAAACAATTAGCTAGTATATGTAATTCTTCGCTTGTATGGTTTAGTAGTGCGGGCTTGTCTTCGCTGGTACGAGGATGATGGCATATTTGGTTGTAAATTGTTGGTGGCACTCATTAATTGACTTAATGTCGCACAGTTAGTTGCTTCTGGTAACTTACCTGGTAATTGATACTCTGCAGTAGCAACCAAGTTATGATTTATTTTGTTAAATTCATCAACAGGTGCCTTGATGAACTTTAACATTGGCCCACAATATGACAATTGTCCAAATACTACCGAAGTTACGGGGAAAGCAGACCTACCACCTTTACTTGTACATAGAGGAAATAGGGTCGCATAAGTTGATGACTGACATCCAGCATAGATATGAACTCTTCCATTTATAGAATTTCTTTCGATATCTTCTTTTTTTAATAGTGCATATCCTGGTGCCATGGCTTGCATCAAACGCGCTTCGTCAACAAATGGCAAGATAGCCTTGTTATTAGATATCTTGAATTTTTTCGGAAAGAATTCATAAATTGGAGACTGTGGATCAGTAAATAAAGGTCGGAAAGGTTCTGGAACAAGATAATTACATTTAGGTGGAAGTATGCACATTAATTGTTCGAAAGGCCGTATCGGGGTGTCTGGTAGGAAAGTTTGATCAAAATTTGCCGCTTTCACATGCTTTAATATGTCCAGAACGGTTGGTGGTCTATGATGTGGATAGAAATGTCTCCAACTTGGACAATCACCATTATAGTATTGAAATACCCAACAAATTGTCTTTATATAATCATTTGCTCTCTTTGCTATTTCTGTAATATTTTTTTCCTCAAATGTAAGATCAAAACTTCTCCTTGAACGATCAGGTTTCGACTTTAGATGCTCGAAAAATTTAAGGAAATTAACAATGTTTATTTTACCTTTATTAGTAATATAAGATTTAGCTTGACTAAAATAAGTTTGATAAGCTTGGAACAAGATATCAACACGTGTCTCCCCCAAACATTTAATCCGTGGAATAAAATCATTACCAAGCAAATTGGCAATGCAAACAAAGTCATCGATAATGTTGTCTTCTTTAATATCCGACGTTACTTGCACTACCATATCACGAATTATGTGTTTACGAAGTCTGTTGATATTAAGAATGACATCATTGCCCTTTAAACCAGGACGTAATATACGCAAGTTAGGTTCGTGTGTAAGCAGAGCGTACATGATAAAGTCGGCATCACAACCGCAAACGACATGTCGATACTTGGTGTTATATCCTGGATGATTACGTTGCGCAGTTAAAAATCGAAAGAGTTTATGTTCGCCTTCACCAGCCACACTGGAATCATCAAGCATTATTTGAAGATTTTTGAGTCTACCGTTTAAACGTTGGTATATATAATATCTAATTGCATCATTTGCAGCCTGCATGAATTCGGTTCCTGATGATATCGATGCACTGTCTACAGGAACAAAAAATCCTGAAGAATTTTTTACACGAGCAGTTAATTGCGATTTCTCATATTTAGCAGATGAATCTTCAAAATGTGTATCGCTTTCTTCTGTCGTACGAGAT